TGAGACTCTAAAACTGTTATGACGAGAACGTCTAACAGTCTCAGAGTTGTTACAAGCTAGTGGTAATATGGTGGACTGGGAAATAGTGCTCATAGCAGCTCTTGCTGAAGAAAAAGAGAAATCTAATCAATCAATCCGGCAGCCGGAGGATGCCAAAGCATCCAGAAGCATCCCGAAGCATCCCGAAGGATTCTCAAGGCTGCCGGTATAGCAGCCTCAGGCATACCGAAGCGGTATTTTTGTTATTACGACCATATATGCACGGCAATATATACTTTATTGCCATTGTGTTAATCTATATTGCTATTTGCCACCTAAAATTCTCAGACGTGCTGATGCCGATAGTGGGCACCGGGCCTTATTTAATAGGTGGTCACAACTGGTCTTACCTGCATTATAAGTTAACTGTCTACTTATGAGGGTAAATTACCCTTTTACACCTGAGTCTGCCAATATAGCCAAATAGTTTTATCCAGCAGAACATTTTTGTTACCCTAATGAGTGACTAAGGGTTCTGCTTACCCTATTTTTAAACATCTACATAGGAATTAATGTTTTACCTTCGTGTGACCGAAACCTTTTCTGATCTTTTTAGGGTTTGGGATAAGAGGGGGTGTTGTCATGTAAAATATTTAGCTAAATGGTCCCGTAGTTTCAAATTCAACAGTTTAATATGATGCTCTGAGTTTCCATGTCACTCGAAGTATCTAAGAGCGCTTGTTGCTGTGTTTAGACGCGTGTTTTGTTATGTTATACCTAGTAAGTTCTATAGTGTGATTGTCAATAGTCGATATTTTTTATGTCAAGTGATAGTTTCTGTTATAAATTGTAGTTTTCATGTCTCATAATAAACAGCAAGTGAGACCAAAATAATGTTCATTGACCAAAACTACATGAGAATCTATTACATTTATTCTATTGATTGAATTTATTAATTAAATTTATATTTTTACATCACGCCTTTTATCCCCGAAGGGGTAGTCAGAGGTTTACATTATGCCACTGTACAATGTAACACCCACTTTTTACTATTTATGTTATGAGTCCCATGTAATAGGGGATGAGCCTATTGCCATATACAGGGCACAATTCCAGACTCCTTGCTACTACTGAGATTTTTTTAAAAACCCAGTATTACTTTGCCCGACCCGGGAGCAGTCACACATGCGACCAGTCGGCCAATGAAGGAGTCTTTTTTTTAACATTAATATATAATTTAGACAAATGAAATGTTACAACCAAAGTGTATTTTATAATATAAACTATTGTATACTTCAAAATATATTCCAATACAACAGAGCAGAGTTTCCCAAAATTAATATTAAATAACAGAGGTTGCGCGGTGTCACAAGAGATGACATATCAAGACATGAATTTAATAGGTCACTGTAAGTTCAAAGCAGACGATCAAGCTACACTACTGCGTTATAACTTGCCCCCGCATTACACAAAAACCTTAAACAATAAGAGGTCATGTTATACTGGACGAGTATACCATCATTTGCGGCCTGTGTATTGTAACATATGTAAATGAACAATCTGTTTGTTAAGGCGTATGTATGTCTGATCATACAATGAAGCGATTATTGTCCTTATTAGCATTATGTAATATTGACTTGGAGAAGATTAGGGCGGCAACTGTCAAGTGTAGACAACAGGGCAACTGTAGGTGGAGGATATTAACTGTAAATGTTCTGATATTGTAATATGGTATTATTAGGGCACTAACTTTTTTTTTATGGGATTAACCGGTAAATGAGCAGACGGATGACCTGATGGTAAGCAATCGGCGTCGCCCATGGACACCTGGAACACCTGAGGCATTACAAGTGCGTTACCGGCCTTTTGGGATTAGGAATTTAAGGGGAGAGGGGGGGGAGGGTAATTGGGCCTCCGATAACCTCACTCACACGACGAAACACAACACAACGTTATTTCACGTCGGTCTTATGTAAGGCCGTGGTATCACTCCGGTCGAGCCGGCCCGTTCATGCCGAAGCATGGCTCTCCCACACTTAGTATAGCTCTCCCACACTTAGCATGGCTCATCCACACTTTCACTGAGAATTTCAGTTAATCGTTAAATTCAGCACAACCCGGGTCATGTAGGTATACGTTTATTTGTTAGTCAAATAATTAACAAACTACCTATAAAAATACCAACTTTAATACCCTCCTGTTTGGAAGCAATAAAACCTTAACAAACACTTGTCTGAAAACCGCATCAAAATTGATTCTGCGTATAGCGCACAAATATACATGCATACAAACAGGTCAAACTGACAAACCTCTTTCTTTTTTGAAGTCGGTAAAATACGCATTCAGCTTAAAGATGAGACGTGAGGAAACCCTGTGAATAAAAGTAATCTATCTATATAAATAAAAATGAATTTGTGTTCGTTAGTCTCGCTGAAACTCGAGAACGGCTGAACTGATTTGGCTAATTTTGGTCTTGATAGGTTCGTGGAAGTCTGGGGAAGGTTTAAAAGGTGAGAAAAAACTTTTAAGCGGTACGAAGTTTCAAGTTTGCCGGGTCAGCTAGTCTTCTATATAAAAATTAATCGAGTTTTCCTTCCTGACGCTATAAGTCCAGAATGCACGAAACGATTTCCACGGTTTTGCATTCGTTGGAAAGGTCTCGAGCTCCGTGAGGTTTATATTATATAAAACAAAGAAATGTTTCTTTATTTTATGATTAAAAAATCACCAAACGAAATGCCAACGAAGCCATCTGGTAGCGAAACGGAGTTCGCCGGGTTTGCTAGTTTGCCTATATATTCTTCAGGGTACGCGCAAGCTGCCCACATGCATTTAAAATTATTATGTATACGAAGTTTGTTACAGACCATTGCCGTGACTGAGCATTAGCCATGTGTAGACTCACCCTTATAAGAACATCTCTGAACTGACTGATTGTCCATGAAAACCCACGTCCAGAATAACCAATCGCAATATAAAATGCAACATAACATTCTTATTATGATCCTTCTCCCTATATAAATAGAGACATAATCGTCAGCAGCATAAAAACGATATTTTGTGATCAAATAGCTGAAGTAAGGGTCGCCATAATTCTCATAATGAGATCGTAAAGGTAACATTCATTAACGGACGATATTACAAGCTTTTGTTTCTTATTATTAAACTATGTGTATAATGTATGTGAGATTGACCTCTATGACCTTTGAGTAAATAAGTCCATTATAACATTTCCTGGCTTTTCATGAAGGTTGTAACATAACATAACATCACGCCTTTTTGGCAGAGGTGCACACAGAAGTAACACCCACTTTTCACTATTTATGTAATGAGTCCCATGTAATAGGGGGTGAGCCTATTACCATATACGGGCACAATTCCAGACTCCGAGCTATTACTAAGAATTTTTTTAAAACCCAGTAGTACTTTGCCCGACCCGGGAATCGAAACTCGGCCAACGAGGCAGTCAGTTTTATTATATATATATAGATTACAAATCTTACATAACTATTGTATGACTGTAACCTAAGTAGACAATGTTGTCGTATTGTAATCTCTATCCCTCTTATTAATAAACATAGAATAGAGTAAGAATAACTTTACTCCATGGTATAAACTCAGAATAGTCAAATTCGGTATTAATAAACAAGGAGTAACGTCGGAGGAAGCTATTCCAACGTTAGTCTGAGAATAAAAGTTAGTCCATGGTGCCACATGGTTTAGCGACGGTGTAAGCTTGGATTAGTGTCATTTTGACATTTTGTTGATAGATATTTTTTTCTTCTTTATTGACAACCGAGTTTCCATCGAGTTTCCAATATGGTTTTGATGACCAGTATCGAGTGGTGTACGGCATTATCAGATAAAACCTATTTTATTATAACCTATTTCCTTGCGTTGCGGCATTACTAAGTATATAGGTACGAGACTAGCTATACCCCACGACTTCGTCCGCGTATTATAATGCCTTCTGGCAGAATGTGGATTTTTGAATAAGTCTTTTCCGAGGTTAATTCTAATGCTTTTTAACAATTATTATCAAAATCGATTCAGTACTTGTTATATTTATTGTAAAATGAATTCTTTTTTTCAAAAAATAAGCATTCGCACATGGGTTTTATCCGTCATTCCAGTGAGTTATCAGTGATAAAAATTATTTAATGTCCTTTACCGGGTTGCAAACCACTGTTGTACCGAATTTCAATAAAATAGGTTCAATGATTTAAAAGATAGAGTTCCGGAATATTAACACATAGGACCTTTGCCGTGGAATTTCCGGGACAGAACTATTATCTTTCTTATTTATAATATTAGTGTAGATTATAAGTTACTAGCTATTGTCCACTGTTTCGCTCGTGCTCATTTATGGAGTTAGGGGAAGATTTGTATAAATATGAAGCCACTAAGTTTTTTGTTAGTTACAAATAGTCAAAATACCAATTTTAATCTTTCTAACTTGAAAATTGTGAAACGCTTTGTATAAACCCACCATTTTAGGGAAGCGGGGGGCTAGAAAGAGATAGAAAGTAGCCCATCTCACTTTCTATCCCTTCAAGTACCTATCTCAACTTAAAAACACGTCAATTCGCTTTGTTTTGTCACGAAAGACGGACAAACAAACAGACACACACACTTTCTCATTAGTATGGATTCGATTTTTATGTAAAAACGCAACAACTTTTTTACACAAAAAGTTATACTATCATTATAAAACGTGGTAAAATGTATAGATATTATTTTTATTCAATATCTGAGTTATTGAGAGAATTAGAGTTGATGAGATTAGAGATGATTACAGAAGTGTGTATGACTAGCTTTTCTGCCAGCGGCTTCGCCCGCGTTCCCGTGGAATAAAAAGCCTTCGTATTATTTTAGAGTTCCAGACCATAATAGACCCCTGTATCAATTTTCATCTCGATCCCTTCAACCGTTTTGATGTGAAGAAGTCACAAACATACAAACTTTCGTATTTATAAAATATTAGTAAGATAGAGGAACGTGAAGAAGAAGAGAAATCAAAATACCGATTTACTGCAGTTTTTATTATTGACATGGTAAAAATAATCTAGCTGGTGACGCCAGAGGTGGCTTTATACCACCCCATTTGAAAGTTTTGAGTGCAATCGGAACATAGGCCCATGGAGAGGTAAATATCAATCCAAGTGGCCTGTTGCCTTAGCTTCTTGTTTTCGAGCATTGATCTTCATGGCTTTCTACTGAATTTTCAGCTGATTTAACTCACGTCTGCTATTCAACTCGTTAAACCTAAAAAATACATAAAATGAATGTAAATATGATAAAATGTAGCTATGTTTAGCCAAATAACTGTACAGCATTATGTGATTCAGATACTATAGGTTAACATAATATACACTGCCCACATATTCGGCTGCATCTGCATGCTTATTATCTCTGAACAAAGATCTGAACAAATGGAATAAAATAAAAATGCTGAAAAAATCTTACCTTGTATAGGGTATATTTATATTTCCTCCCACTCTTTTATCTTGATTGTGTTGGTGTTTGTGCTTAACGATTTATTTTCAATGATTTGAAAATATTATTTTGGAACCGAGGCGTTATAATTTTATGGCTGAAATCTAAAAATATATAAACAATATGAAGACATTTTTTCTTTGTTAAGATACGCCATAATTAACAGGCATCGGGAGTATTTACCTTTTGTTCTTTGCGCTAGTTAATAGCGCGGCGGTGCTTTTCGCTCGTTTTTCGTTATTTATAAATTGAATTATATATTAATTATGTAAGTAAACAAATTAATAATTTTTCGACAAAACTGACAGCGACAGCAACTTGTCAAGATGTCAAGCTAACATACATCTGTCAATAAAGCAGTGATTTCATAGGTTTTATACGACTTCATACCTCCTTCTCAGTTCTTCGTCTTTTTACTTTTAAAATTTCTGGGTTACCATAATAAAAGGATAAAACCTAGTCTAAGGATAGTATTGTTATTCCGAGGTTATTCCATGTTTATTAATAGGAATGCAATTCTGAAGTTAATACTTTGTTAGTCCGGGATTAGCTAGTCCAAGACTAACCTGTGAATAAGTTTGGAATAGGAGATTTTTATTAATAAGACCGTATAAGCACAGCACAACAGACTTCATCACGACATTTAAAATAAAAACAAAACAATAATTCTTAGAAATATCGTTAATAAACAAGATTTTTGACAGACTAATTTAATTATCTTACTCCAGTTTCAATAAATCACAACAAAAAAGGTAGCCATGTTTTATTATGATCCTACGCGTAAGTTTTTGTCTTTCATAACAATAAAACAGTTTTTATTATTAACTATAACTATACCCAAGATAGTACTTGTATGGATTTGTGTAACTTACCTTAAATCGTGGGTTCATAAAATATCCACGAAAGAAGTGTAAACAAAACGTAAATATCATTAAATGTACGCTAAAAATATTCAGCATGGGACTTTGAGACAAAATACATAATACATTAAGCATGTTTTCCTGTAAAAAGAATATAGTACGTAGTTCTGTATATTTTTCCTAGTAGGTACACTTTAGCTTAGGAATTCTTCCCCGATGTTACTGATACACACTTCATTTCCGTAGCCCAATCACTTAACAGATATTGGGTTTCAAACGCATTTTAGTTTTGTACAGTGACATACTATTATATGTATTAGGTACCTTTTGCTTCTATGTTAAAACATTCTTTGATTTTTTTATGGGATAAGCCGGTTAACGGAAAGACGGATCACCTAATGGTAGGCAATCGGCGTCGCCCATGGACACACGAAACACCAGAGGCGTTACAAGTGCGTTACCGGCCTTTTGAGAATTAGGATTTTGAGGATTGTGGGGGATTCGGGCATTGGGGAGACTGGGGAAGGGGGATAATTGGGCTTCCGGTAACCTCACTCACAGGACGAAACACAACGCAAGCGTTGTTACACGTCTGTTTTCTGTGAGGCCGTGGTATCACTCCGGTCGAGCCGGCCCATTCGTGCCGAAGCATGGCTCTCTCACACTTATAATTTATATTATTATGAATTATCGTAAAAAGTAGTAGGTATGCTATAATGGATAGTTTATAACTCCTCATTGATGTAGTGGTCTCAAGTATAACTGCCGATTAAAAAGTCTTGGTTAGTATTCCCGGGTCGTAGAAAAAATGGCGTTGATCGCTTTGTGGAATAAATCACGGCATGTTACGTTGTATACGTGCTATATACAATATCCTTATATCCGAAAATTGTCTAACATTGTACCTAGAGCAAAAACAGATTATCCTAAACCACTTCAACCCCTACCATTACTGAAACAACCTCACCATCTCACATGAAACTAAATTGCACACGAAACGATTCCAATCTGCACCCATAGAGGGTCCAATTTGCACTCCAGTGCAATTTACAAGTCTTGCAACTAGAATCTAACAACATAGTTGGCAATACTAACATTGGTTGGGAAGTCAGCCACATCAAAGTCCGTTCAGACTGTCACAGGAGACGAACCAACGGCCAACGCAATGATTATGCGGTCTCCGACACTAGCTCAAATCAGAGGGCTTCAAGCTGACCTATGGACCTCTAATCAGTGTTCAGAGTGTTCGCAATCGCAAGTTAATGATATGGTGCAATCTAACGTTCGTTTCATCGTTTGTTTTACTTTTTATATTGATCTTTAAGGGTCACGTCATATTGTTCAAATTGAAATGAATTTTCTATGCTAATATTATTACTGTTTGTTTAGTTTTTGGTTAGTAAAACACGTTTAGAAAAAATATTTTTGTCTTCTAACTATCGTGAGTATCATATAATTAAATATGTCATAATAATTATCAATCAAGGAACCATAAAGGCAATAAAAAAATACACTACAGTCAATGAATAGGCATCAACTGCTTATAATAACTATTAAATTTTGGTGGAGAATAAAACCACACAGCAATAGTTGTTATTTAATATTATTTTACAACTGTTACTCAATATAATTAAAGATAAAGATAAATATAAAGACATTTATTTGCGTAAAAACATGGTATACAAAGATGTAAAAAGTACCTCTACAATATAAATAGATCATCATGGTTTGCTTAATAAATAAAGCATGCAAATTTTAACTTAAAACTTATTTTAACTAACTTACACTCGTAGTTATTATACATTATTATTTATGTTCAAAAAATTCCTTAATGCTATAAAAATTATTTTCATTCAACCATACATATTCGGACACACATACTTAGGCAGCTTTTATTATACTTTGTTAACTTAGGAAACTCCTCTAGTACTAGTATGTAATGGTCGCATCGACTTCTAGAACATACATCTTCTGCCGTTTTGAACAGTTCTTTATGTTTGCGTACGAATATACACACTTCATATAAGTATACACTATACATAATTCAATAAACACATTTTGATAATGTAGTTTCGACTAGCGAGATTCAATAAATAGATAATAATATAGTCTTACTAGATTTAAATAGGTCAAACATGTAGCCTAAAGCAAACCCAAAATACTAAAATTCTCATTATAATATAGTTTTGCGAGTGTAATCTGCAAAGGTTTCAAATGGCTCTGCAATTTACTTACAATATTAAGTTAAAAACGTTATACTTTTTTTTTATATTTATGTTATAAATTATGTTAATGTTGCTCATTTATAAAAACACGGTGAATTTTTCTTCAAGAATATTTTGGACCTAAATATTATTTTAGATTGTGGTAGCACTTGGGAGTAGTGTTAAAAAAAAAGAGTAACTATTAAGTACAAGTCGTGTTAGTTAATGTATGTGCTTACCCTGAATTATACATAACTTCACGCCTGTCTCCCATAGGGGAAGGCAGAGACTATGGAACGCCAATTGCTATGATTCCTACATACTTCTTTCACTTCATCAACATTTATCAATCTTTTGATGCTTGCTCGTCGGTTAAGGACACTTTTAATATATCGCCAATCTGGTCAGTATAGAGGTATGTCCGTCTACAGTACGTAATACATAATATCAACATTAGAATAATACAATTGACAGTAATTATTATTATTAATGTAAGTAAGTATTGACTGCCTCGTTGGCCGAGTGGTCGCAAGTACGACTGCCGGTAATGGGTCTCGGGTTCGATTTCAGGGCAAAATATTACTAGGTTTTTTAAAAATTCTCGATTGTAGCACGGAGCGTGGAATTGTGCCCCGTATACGGCAATATGCTCACCCCCTATTACATGGGACTCATAAGGAAAAGTGAGTGTTATATTGTACAGTAACATTAATTGCCGTAATTTGAATCCCTGCCTACGCCTTCGGGGATAAAAGGCGTGATGTTATGTTTTGTTATATGTTAATTTTAAAGAATTTCTTATACTTCAAGTAGGACTTAAAACAAGTTCGTTTGTTAGGAAAAAGTAATATAAGTTTCAATCCCTTTAATATGGCCAATGCAAGATCACCACAAATCGTAGCGATACGATCGCATTGATCCCTCCAATGTGTTTAGTGCCACTTTGACAGCCCACTGTGTCATAGTATTAAGAACTTTAAGACTTCAGAGCTTAGTACGAGATTCGAAGATCATGATTTCATTATGTGTTACGTAGTATGAACGGAATAGTTGTTGCTTATTATGATGTTAAGTAGGTTTTAAAAATATTTTTTACTTTTCTGTCTTCTCCTTTAGGGAAGTTTTAATTTTAATTTTCAAAGTTTTAATTTTCTTTATATGATTTAATTTTATCATCAAATTAAAATTAAAGACTGCCTCGTTGGCTGAGTGGTCGCAAGTACGACTGCGGTTGGGTCTGGTCGGGTTGGATTCTTGGGTCGGGCAAAGTATTACTGGGTTTTAAAAAATTCTCGGTTATACTAGACAGAGGAGCACAAAGAAGTTACACCCACTTTTCACTATTTATGTTATGCGTCCCATGTAATAGGGGGTGAGCGTATTGCCATATACCGGGCACATTTCCAGACTCCGTGCTACTAATGAGATTTTTTTTAAAAACCCAGTAGTACTTTGCCCGACCCGGCAATCGAACCCGAGACCCCTTGTCTGGCAGTCGCACTTGCGACCACTCTAAATATTGTATATAAACACTTAATTAACAGTGCTGACTTATTTTATATGAATTTTGAAATACTTACATGAGTATTTATTGTTCTAAAAGAAAACGTTGCCCCCCCCCACACTAAGATTTTCCCCTGTGTCGTTGGTGCATTACAAACATACATGTTCACATATACATAAGTGTGGGATAACCATGCTTCGGCACGAATGGGCCGGCTCGACCGGAGTGATACCACGGCCTCACAGAAAACCGAGGTGAAGCAACGCTCGCGTTATGTTTCGTGTGAGTGAGGTTACCAGAGGCCCAATTATCCTCCCCTTCCCCAATCTTCCCAATCCCTGAATCCCCAAAATGACCGGTAACGCACTTGAAACACCACTGGCGTTCCAGGTGTCCATGGGCGACGCCGATTGCTTACCATCAGGTAATCCGTCTGCTCGTTTACCGGCCAGCGCCATAAAAAAATAACACCTAGACTCGGAACAGCAATTCGTGGATTACACAAAGAGTTGTTCCGTGCGGGAATCGAATCGGCCAATTGCCCACCCAGCCACCGCATCAACCATGCACTCAGTTCAGCTATTCTTATTTGTTTCAGTGCGATTTCTAGTTTTATAATCAAAGTTATATCATATGTTC